AGCGCATTATTCTCATAAAACTGATAGATAATAACTGTTCATACCATAAGGTAACTTCCTTTTTTTTCAAACTCTCTCATTCTTTCTGTTTTCTCTTCCGCAAATTCATCTTTTAAATTACTAGCATAACTATTCAGTACATGGCAGATAAGAGGCTGTACTGATGATTCCTGTTCCCACCCACACTTAAAGTTCAGTCTCTGTTCAAAGCTAAGAGATGAAATAAAAACTGCATCCCAACAGGTGAGGACACTCAGACAAATATGCATGACCAATATTTTATGTCTTATTTTACTATTCCATACAACAATGCAGTAGTAGTCAGAGCAAGTAGAAAAGTTTTCCAGCATCGCAGCTGAAAACCAAACTGAATTAGTAGTCGTTCAAAATATTTTAGGCATAATTTTGGCTAACAGACGACATTCTAGTTGATGGAGTCAATTTCAAATGGATCTTCTTGTCGACGCCGAATGTATTTGTTGGTGTTTTAAAACTTTGTCAAGGACCAGAAGTCAAATGCAAAAAGGATTAAGCTGTCTGAACAGACTGTCATATAATCCGCTTATTCCCCGAGTATACTTCCCACCGATTTTTTCAAGTTGAAATTCACGTGAATTAAACCTCCACTTTCTGTTTTGAGTTTTTCTGCGCATACGTGTATGTGCGTGTCCATGTGTAGTTTTACGTACTGCAATAGCTGGAAGAAAAAAGCTGGATTTTTATCCTTTATATTGTTCAGATTCAAATAGCAATTTCATAAAGGAAGTGCGTTGCAGAGCACAACAAGGACCAGGCGCGATTATGCATTTTGCACAGTTTTGTTCAGCTAAGTCAAGAACACGCCAATAACTTCCTTATGTCTTCATCTAGGAGTAGTTGGGAATTAAGTTTGATATTCCAGAATCATGCATAAATATGAAGCATCCCCGTAAAATTTCAGCTTTCTAGCTTCTTTGGCTCTCAAATTAATAAATTTCTCGCCAAAGCTTTCGTGTGTCCGCACGTGAGATTTAGGCTCATTTGAAAGTTCAATTTAAATTTGTGGAAAATGGCGTACAAGTAAAAAACATCTCCCGGAAATTTCAGCTTTCTAGCTTAATCAATCCCTGAGTGAAAACTCACAAAACGCACTGAAATACGCATACATACATACATACATACATACATACATACATACACACACACACACACATACACACATACACACACACACAAACACATATATACACCGATAAACATGCAAGTTTTTGACAATATGTGTTTTGTGCGACTGCCGTTACGCAGCAGGTATAAAAACGAAAAACGTATGAGCGAACCTCAGATGGCTCCTCACTTTATCAAAATGATTCTGAAGCAAATTTCAGACTTAATAGTTATTTCGTCGTTGCACCTACCACTGTTTGTGATTTTATAGTTACAGTTTGGCTTTGTTGCTTGCAGTATCGCTGTGCTTTTAATCAGTAAAGTGAACTTCGCTTTCTGGAAATTTGCGGTGAAAACTATACTAAGCCACCATCATCCAAACTCAGTGTGTCCTTCTGTCGCAATAATTTAGAGGCAGTTTTCAATATATTACTGCTAAAAAAAGCATTTCCTGCAGGGCTGTAACTAGATTATGTTAATACCAGTTTACCGCGTTGTGAGCAGTGGTGCGGGAAATCTGTACAAAATTTATAAAAAATTTCATCATCGCAGCAATACTATCACAGCAATCAACGATAATTCGTTACATAAGAAACAGAATCTTCAAAGTTCCACAACGACATCATTTTTACAGACAAAACAGAAACAAACTACGGTGTTTGCTTCAGCCGCGCGGACAATTCATGTTCGTTACGAAATTCTGCTCTAGGGATTGTTCAGGATTTGCGATTTCTTGAAACTGGCTTAGGACTAAGTTTACGATTTCCCAGGCCACAAAAATACGACGATTCAATAAGCAGAAATAGGCAGTCCTTGATATCGACATATGCCACATTCGAATGCTTTAACTGAAACGGGAGATGCTCTTTTCGCTCCTATCCAGAGATATCCGTGAATGGCACGAAAGGAGGAAGAAAAACCGAGGAGAAAATTTGAGAATTAAAAGAAAACTGACGGAGAAAAATTGAAGAAAATTAAAGTATATTATACGTTGGGGATGTTTGCCAGTGCGTTCCTGCGACCGATAATTTTTCAGTGGACAATCCCGATGATAAGCCAACAATCTCGCAATATCTCTCTCAATCTTCGTGGAAGAAAAATTAGAATTTCAGCACTGTACTTAGTACCACAAGCATTATCTATACATCTTGTTCTACAGCATATCGATCTCTCGTAATAATTATTAACGACATTAAAAACTATCCACACATAAAAACAATAGCTACACGTCTGAGCATCATATTCAGAAGCTAGAAGCAGGCTCAAAAAAGAGAAATAAACGTAGACAAAAGACATCTTGATCAACTAGCTGAATTCTATGTTCAAGAAAAGTAAAGCATCACATCCTATTACTACAGCTCAATTGTTCCATTCATACAGCGCTCAGCAAAATTCTATTTTGCAAATGGTACCCGGCCACGGCCTTTACGTGGCGCTCCAGCACCTCGTTTTTGCCGCAAACCGTTCAAGTGCGTTCGTAGAAATGGTTGTTCTGAATTGTACGCATGATTTAAATTTACCAGCTGTGATATGGCATCATCGCAAAAAATACAGCCCTTGTATGTGCTTTTTCCTTCCGGCAACGGCGATTTGTCCTGCAAACACTTCTTCACAGCTTTTAATTTTTCGAGCAATGTCTGCGAATATAATTTTTTGAAATTCTTCCGCCGGAAAAAATGCTTAAATTTTATTTTAAAATGAAAAAAATGAAAAAGATAAATAGTTTATTTGTTTGTTTCGAAAAATTCAGATTAATAAAATCTTAAATTGCTTGGTTTTTTAA